CCCCCCCGCCGGCCTCCGCCCCGGGCCTCCCTCAGGCGTTGATGGGCCTCCAGCGCTCGCTGTCGGCGCCGCGGAGGCCGGCGTGGCGGAGGCCGGCCTCGTGGAACTGGGTGCTGGAGTAGCCGCGGGCCGAGGCCGGGGTCCCCGGGGTCCCCTCGGGCCCCTCGCGCCGCGCCACCGCGTAGGGCTGCGGCAGGTGCAGGTCGGGCTCGTCGGGCTCGTCCACCTGGCTCTTGTACGAGAAGAGGATCTTGGGCTCCGAGCTGCGGGGCGGGGGGACACGGGAGTCCCCGGGGTGTCACCCCCGGAATGGCCACCTCGGGTCCCCCGCCACCCCACGGGCTCCCGGGGTGACCGTCCCCAACCGAGAAGGCAGGCGCGCCCGGTTTAAGGAGAGAGACCCTAAAATCGGGGGGCCGATCACAGTTGGGGCTTGGGGTCCCCTGTGACCCTCTGTCACCTCCACCCCAGAAAAGCCACCCACGCCCACGGTTCCCGGGGCGACTGTCCCTCCCCCCCAGAGAGCAAAGCCTGCCGACTGCCCCTCCCCCAGGGCAGGGGCGCGGGTCCGCTCTGCTCCGCGTCCTGTTTCCTGCAGGGTCCGGTGGGGTGTCGTGTAGACGTTGCTCAATAAAGCGCTTGGCGCCGACGCCCGGGTTGTTCAAACACAGGGACGCGGAGCGGCGCGCGGCGCCTCTGCGTTTTTTTTTAACCCGTGGGGAAATCGTGCGCGTGTGCAAAACAAGTGTGTGCGTGTGCAAAACACATACGTGTGTTCGCATGCAAAACGTGCGTGCGCGTGCACAACATATATGTGCGTGTGGAAGCACGTGCGTGCATGCAAGACGTGCGTGCGTGTGCAAACGTGTGCGTTGGCGTGCAAAACACGTGTGTGCAAAACGTGTGTGCGCCTGCAAGACATATGTGCGTGTGTGTGCAAACATGTGTGTTGGCGTGCAAAACACGCGTGTGCGCAAAACGTGTGTGCGTGTGCATGTGCGTGTGAGTGCAAACATGTGCATCCGCATGTGAAACCTGTGCATGTGTGCAAAATGGGCGCGCGCAGACAAAACGTGTGTGCGTTTGCAAACGTGTGTGCGCGTGCAAAATGTGTGTGTGTACAAAACGTGCGTGCGTGTGCAAACATGTGCACGCGCGTGCAAAGCATGTGAGTGCATGCAAAACGTGTGTATGTACAAGACGTGTGTCCATGTGCAAACATGTGCATTTGCGTGCAAACACGTGTGTGCAAACGCGTGTGTGCAAACACGTGTGTGTGCAAACGTGTGTGCGTCCACGCCCGCCCGCGCCCGCGCTCACCCGAAGAAGCCGCGCAGGAAGGTCACGTAGATGAGCGGCGCGAAGAAGCTGAAGTACAGGAAGGTGGTGACGTCCACGCAGCTGTGGGGGCGGGGCGTGAGGGCCGGGGGCGGGGCCTCGCGGGCCGAGCCGTCCCCACGGGGGCCAAGCCCCGCCCCCAGACGACGCCCCGCCCCTTCCCACACCCCACCCCCGCGCTTCCCCCCTCCCCCACTCTGCACCCCGCCCCTGAACCCCACGCTGCCTCGAGCCCCCTCCCCCACCCCTGCACTCCATGCCCGAACCCCACTCTGCACCCCAGCCCTGTGGCCCACCCAGCCTGGAGCCCCACCCCACCCCCACCCTTGAACCCATCCCCCACCCCATCAACACGCTCCACCCCCCCCCACCCATGCACCCCACCGTACCCCCTAACTGTGCACCCCCACCCATGCACCCGCCCCGCCCGCCGTACCAGAGCCCCTGGATGACGTCGACGCACAGGAGCGCGCTGCCCAGCCCCTGCAGCAGGTTGAGCAGCGCCAGGATGGCCGCGTACACGTAGAAGCTCCTCCGCGCTGCGGGCGGGGTGAAAATGCAGGGCACAGGTGACAGGTAGCACAGGGGTGACAGGTGGCACAGGTGGGACAGGTGGCACAGGTGACAGGTGGGACAGGTGGCTCAGGTGGGACAGGTGGCACAGGTGGGGCAGGTGGCACAGGTGGCACAGGTGACAGGTGGGACAGGTGGCTCAGGTGGGACAGGTGGCACAGGTGACAGGTGGCACAGGTGGGGCAGGTGGCACAGGTGGGACAGGTGGCACAGGTGACAGGTGGCACAGGTGAGCGCCCGCCTCCCCGCCCCTCCCGCAGTCTGCGGCGCGGCCCCCCGCCCGGGCGCTCACAGGGCAGGGAGATGCGGTCCTTCAGCGGCGTCCTGGGCAGCGCGACCACCAGGGAGTAGACCTGCGGGGACAGCACAGCCCCGGGGCTGGGACGGTCGCCGGTCCCCTCCTCGGGCCACCCGCCTGCCCCCGGGCCTGCACCTGCCTCACCAGGAAGAAAAAGCAGGAGCTGACCAGCCAGAACTGGCGGCCGCCGTGGCCGTAGATGTTGAAGTCCTCTGCGGACAGGTGGGCGTCCGGGTACAGGATCTCCAGGGTCCCCTGCGGGGTGGGGACAGGGAGGGACAGGGTCGCGCAGGCCGTCCCCCCCATTTGGGGGATCCCTCCCTGGACACCTAGTGGGCGGGGAGTCACCACGACCAGCCTGGGTCACCAGCTAAGCCCCCAAGCCCGGCTTGGGCCTCCGGGAGGCCGAGGCGGAAGGATCGCTCGAGGCCAGGAGGTGGAGGCCAGCCTGAGCAAGAGCGACACCTTTGTTTCTACTAAAAAAAATAGAAAGAAATGAGCTGGACGACTAAAAATATATAGAAAAAAAACGAGCCGGGCGTGGAGGCGCATGCCTGTCATCCCAGCTCCTCGGGAGGGAGGCCGAGGCGGGAGGATCGCTCGAGGCCAGGAGTTCGAAACCAACCTGAGCAAGACCGAGACCCCGTCTCTACTAAAAATAGAAATAAATTAACCAAATAAATAAAAATAGAAAAAACGAGCCGGGCGTGGTGGCGCATGCCTGTCGTCCCAGCTCCTCGGGAGGGAGGGAGGCCGAGGCGGGAGGCTCGCTGGAGGCCAGGAGTCGGAGGCTGCCGTGAGCGAGGCTGACGCCACGGCGCTCACTCTAGCCCTGGGCAACAGAGCGAGACCCTGTCCCCCCAAAAAATAAAAATAAATCAAAAGCCCCCAAGCTCTCCACCTGCCCAAGTTCAGCCTCCGGTGGCCTCGCCACGTCCTGTCCTCCTTCTCCAACCCAACTCCGGCACCCCCGAACGGGTCCAGCCTCGGGTCACGAGGCCCGTGCGTGGGGACAGGGACAGGTAGAGGGACGCCTCTGTCCCCCCACGCCGCCCAGGGTCACCTGCAGACCCCCGTTCCCCCTGCCTGGGCTGCTTGTGACAACGGCAGGTCCCGGCCTCCAATTTGTCACATCCTGACCTGCTGGACGGACGTCACTCTCAGACTTGCCCCGTGGCCAGCAGCCCAGGTGGATTCTCAGGTGCTCTTAATTTATTTTATTTTATTTTTTTTTGAGACAGAGTCTTGCTCACAGCGGCCTCCGACTCTTGGCCTCGAGCGAGCCTCCCGCCTCGGCCTCCCTCCCGAGTAGCTGGGACTGACAGGCACGCGCCACCACGCCCGGCTCGTTTTTTTTGTATATATATATTTTTAGTTGTTTGGCTAATTTCTTTCTTTTTTTTTAGTAGAGAAGGGGGTCTCGCTCTTGCTCAGGCCGGCCTCGAACTCCTGGCCTCGAGCGATCCTCCCTCCTCGGCCTCCCTCCCAGAGTGCTGGGAGGACAGGCGTGAGCCTCCGCGCCCGGCCTCGCAGGTGTTCTTAATGTTCGAGAAAACTGCACCTGGTGACCGTTGGCAACCTGGCACCCAAGACCCCAGGACCTGGATGTCCTTCGTCCCGTGACCCCGCCCTGGCACACCTGGCCCCGCCCACCCTCTCACCTGGGTGACGGAGTAGCCAGGGAGGACAGACGCGGGCCCGGTGTGGGTGAGTGGCACAGGCAC